TTTTGGTCATTATGTGTTGTTAAAGCAGAATTTTCAAAAGGCCAAATCATAACTTTCAGGTAAATATAAAATGAACACATATCACAGATTTTCTTTAGCTCATTTAATTAATGAGAGAACCAGCCAGATGTTATTACTGGTTTAAAAACATCTGTAAAGCTAGGATATATAAAGACAACAAAGAAATGTCAGGATGAGATTGGTGGGTTAGATTAAAAATTAGTCTGTATCTATCAGGACCATAAATCCGGAGGTTATGTGTTCCACTGGACAGAAATTTTTTCTATCTTTACCAGACAAAAATCTACAAGTTAACAAGTAGCTTCACTAATTATGGGGCCTTTAATAAGCAGTAAGCAGTGAGATGAACTGAGTTCATCCCCATAGACCGGGAGCCAGCAAACCTCTAAAGAGCCAGATCATAAATGCGTTAGGGCCATGAACATGGCTATCTCATATTCTCCCCTTTCTTCTCCTGGGTATTACGAAAACAGACTGTGGGCCAGATTTCGCCAATGGTATTTGCCGGGCCCTCTCCTATACAGTCTCTGGGTGGCCATTCTTCCAGATGACGTTGAAAGTGCACATTGCTGACCTCTTCTACCTTCCAAGTTTCATATAAATTCTCTGATAGTGGTTTCTCAAAGAACAAAATCAAGAGTACAATTGTTATTAATGTTGAGTGGGGATAGTAGTGATAAAATTTAATATTAAAAATCTTCATTAGGAAGGTTGGAAACATTTTCCTAGAGTTCAAAAAGGATAACTTTTATAGGGAGGAAGAATGCTAGTTGCAGACACTGTTTAACTCTGGCTTTTTAGAGGGACACTGTCCAGAAGGTGTAGGACATAGTGGTAGAGTGGTTTCGTCAGTTTTGTTTAGCTCTTCTAAGTACTTTGAAAGTCAACGTTTTGAAATGCTTACCTTATTTCAAACTACCTTTTCTATTTATATAAGAAGGGTTTTTTTTTTTTTTTTGAGTAAATGTTATTTTGGACTGTTTTGGAGTGATATGTATATATGTATGTGTGTGTATATATATGTATATATGTGTGTATATATGTATATGTGTGTATATATATATCATGTATATATATGATATACGTGTGTGTGTGTGTATATATATACACACACACACAAAGACACATATATATGTACACATTCTCTTTTTCCTTTGGAAGGAGATCTCTGGGAACTTGGAGAAGAATCAGTAGTAACTTCCCTGTCTGGTTTATACACCTTGACTTTCTATTTGTAAACAAATATGAATTGAAATTTATTACCTGTTTAGTTTTTGCAAATGTGTTGAAAGACATTGTTTCCTTTGCTGTTGATTCCTAGCGGGAGGTCGTGAATAATGCATGGGATAGTTGCTTATATTGATAAACATGGTTACTTTTAATTATAGGACTAAAACTTACACTAACCTTTTAAAGGGAAACCTGTGGTCTTAAAATGAAATATGGCCTTCCAGTTTCTTAAGTGTGGCCTTTTGACTGAATCCAAATTTTGCAGAACAAATCCTCTTATTAAAAGGAGTGCAGCAGAGAAAGATGAAGCTTTTCTTGCTTCCTTTGGTGCTTAAAAAAGAACAATCTTGAAATCAGAAGGCTGCAGGTTTCCCACCCTGCAACCAAAGAGAGGAAAATACCTTTGGGTCCTTAATATGTTTGGGTGTCTTGGGATGTATGGATTTGTCCTTTCTCTATGTCTAAATGTTTTCGTCAACCCATTGGCTGTGTTGTTGTCTGCAGTGTTTCACTGATGTGACCCTGACTTATGGTAGGAAGGCTTGTTAAATACTCTGTTGAATTGCTGAAGTCATTGTTTTGGGGGACAGTTCCTCAAGAAAAATGCTTTGATTGGGTTATAGTGTCCTTTCTATATTTTATGAAAATTCTCAGAGGGCAGCTGCATTTTGGCAGAGCAGCACTGTGTCTCTTAGATTGAAGATTTGGAATTTGATATATTAATAGCATTCTTCCAGAAGGGCTTAAAAACCAACAGAGCCCAAGAAACATGAAAAGGTCTCAGCCCACATCCTTTCTTGCTTACTGAGTGAGGTAGGGGTGGGAGGCCAACAGGAGGGCAGACAAGGGCAAGGGCAAGGTCACTGTCTCAAAAATAAGAACCAGGCAAAGTGACTGTCATTCACAACAGTTTTTGCCTGGCTTCTGATTTCAAATTTGGGATTGTTTTAGTCAGTAGATTTGATAGCTAGCAACACAAACTTAGTTAATGACAGGAAAGCCATCCTCTCTGATTAAGTAATTATTTCACTAGTTGATACCCATATATATATATATATATACATAAAGATATATACAATATAACAAGATATAAAAACAAGTGAGGAAATTAAGAGTCTTTCTTTCACTCACTCCTTTATTTACACATCCAACAAATACTTATTAAGTACCTACCACATGCAAAACATTGTTTTCTGTGCCTGGAATATTTCCAATAAATGAACAAATCCCCTGTCCCTGTGGATCTGTATTCTAGTCTGGGGTAAAAGGGGACAGACAATAAATAAATGCCCAAGTAAGTATGTGACATGGCCATTGTTCCATCGTGTTCTATGGGCAGGAAAGCAGGATCAGGACAATTGGAGCAACAGGGGTGAGGGTGGGTGTGGAGGGGAGGGTTGTTATTTTTAAGGGTGGCTCAGGAAGGCCTCTCTGTTGAGGTGACATTTGACCCAAGACCTCAATGGAGTGAGGGGTGAGTCATGTAACATCTGAAAAAAGAGAGTTTCAGAGAGAAGGAGCAGTAGTTCTTTCTCTCTGAAACTCTCTAAAGCTTGAAGTCCAGAGCCTGCTGGGTGTGTTTGAGGAGCAGCCAGGAAGCTGGGGTAGCTGGAGTGGAGTAAAAGGAAGGAGAGGAGGTAGGGGGACTTCATAGGTGTTGCAAGAGTAAGATTTTACTCTGAGATACAGGAAGACACTGCAAGGGCTTTTGGGCAGATCACAATAGACTTCCATTTAAAAAAGACTGCTCCGGCAGTCATGCTGAGAATAGCAGGGAGGGGGCAAGGGAAAAAGCAGGGAGCCCAGTGAAGAGGCTATTGTAATAATTCAGACAAGAGAGATGGTGACTTGGATCAGGGGTTACTAGTGGAGATGGTAACAAGTGGTTGGATTCTGGTTATATTTTGAAGAAAATACTGACAGGACTTGCTCTAGTAGATAGGGTGGGTATAAAGAGTGTAAGAGAGAAGTTGAGATTTTTTTCCCTGAGTTACTGGAAGAATAGAATTGGCATTGACTGAGATGGATAAGGCTGAAGGGAGAATGCCTAACAAACTAGAAATGGAAGGGAACTTCCTCAATTTGATAATGAGTAAATACACAAAACCCACAGCTTGCATCATACATAATGTGAAAGACTAAATGCTTTCTTCCTAAGATCAGGAGGAAGACAAGGAGGTCACCCCTTCTATGTAACATTGTATGGGTGGCCCTAGCCATTGCAATTTGTCAAGAAAAAGAAGTAAAAGGCATCCAGATTATCATGGAAGAAGTAAAACTGCTCTATTTGCAGGTTACATGATCTTGTATTTAGAAAATCCTAAGGAATCCACTAAAAAACTTAAAACTAATAATGATTTCAGCAAGGTTGCAGGAAACAAGATCAATGTACAAAATTCAATTGTATTTTTATACACTAGCAATGAACATTCAGCAAATGAAATTAAGAAAGCACTATTACTTACTTCCATGAGACTAGATGAGAACACTCAGAGCGTCTAGATGGGGGGTGTGTGTGTGTGTGCAGGCGCACGTGTCTGAGTTCCAGGTCAACAACATGCAGAGGTCAGGGAGACAAGGAGGAACCTGCAAAGGAGACAGATGTGGAACAAGCAGTGAGGCAGCTGGACCACCAAGAAAGCCATGTCCTGGGGGCAAGTATTTGAGGAAGAAGATGATCTACAGTGTGTGATGCTGGGAAGAGTGAGTAAAATGCTGAGGGGGGTTGATAGATAAGTGAATGAGCATGCATGAAAAGCAAGAGAGAGGAAGAATGGGAGAGAGAGGGTGAAAGATAGGGTCTGTCCAGAACTAATACTTCTATGGAAAATGTAATAAAATTTTTTTTTATTAAATGCAAAGGACATAATACTATTCTTGGTTAATATAAAAGCTTATAAATGCATTCAATGTCTGTACTATCTCACTGCAATCTTTAACAGTTTCTTGAGTGGACTGGTACTAGTTCATAGAACCCACTTTGTTTTGTGTGGGTCTAGGATTAGCTAAAGGAACATGAACGGAGATTGATTCAACATGCATTTGATACAGAGTTATGGGCTTGATGGCAGGAAGTACTTGTTAGAGAATGAAGATTGATTTCATCCTCTAAGCGGCTATATATCTCCTTGTTGAGAAAACTTCAAGCCTGGAGTTTGGCTCCACATAGGTTATGACAAAGAGCAAGTCAAAAATCTTGTGTGAGGCATTATCCCTTTCTATAAATGATAACAGCTATCTGCTCTCTTCCTTATAATTCTGACATTTGTATGGTATTTTAGTCTGAATTGCTCATTTAAGTCTCATACCACCCTGTGAAGTGGGTGGATTTTTTTTTTTAATCTCCATGAAGAAACAGCCTCAGGGAGAGGAAACAACTTGTCCATCCTCATGCTGTGTGGAAGTGATAGAGCCAAGATTAGCATTTTAGACCCATGAGCCTGCCACCAGACTTGGCTGTGGGATTTTTTAATCCCTTCTAGATTTGAGTTTGACATTGGCTGTGCTTTGATAGTTTATGTCCTGCTTTTGTTATTATGCATTTGCAGGTTGAATTTAGTGTCACTCTGGGGGATGTGTGTGTGTGTGTGTGTGTGTGTGTGTGTGTGTGAACATAGCAAGGTAAATAGACTTTGCTTTTCTAATCTAAGCAGTTGCTGGATTACACTATTGTTGGTTTTAAATTCTGATCAGAAGTGTTCTGGATTCTAGAAATGCTGCTTCTAACTGAGTTCTTTCCTCTTTCACAGTGTATGAATTATTTGCATTCATCAGTCACATGGGAACATCTACAATGAGTGGCCATTACGTTTGCCATATCAAGAAGGAAGGAAGGTGAGTCTTTTAAGAAGGTATAAGATAGCAGTGATTTATTGAGCACCTACTATGTGCCAGGCACTCTACTAGGTGCACCATATATTATCTCATTGGGTTCTCTTCTCATATTGGTCTTGTGCGGAATATACTCGTAATGCCATTGTATGCATCTAGGCAGTGAGGCTCACGGAGGCTGAATGGCTTGACCTTAGTAAGTATTTAATGACTGTATCAGAGCTGGTATTCAAAGTCACATTCAACCATCCTACCAAGGTGATTTCCCAAAATAAAGATGCATGCCACAGCAAAATGTATGCTATATTTGAAACCTCCATAGGATTGCCATATTTAGTTAACAAAACAAGAAAACCAGGATGTCCTATTAAATTTGAATTTTAATAAATAACAACTTTTTAGCATAATATGTTTCAAATATTGCATATCCCAAATATTGCATGGGACAAACGCAGCATACTTATGCTAAAATTATTTGTTGCTTACCTGATACTCAAATTTAACTGGGAACTTGTGTTTTATCTGGCATCTCTAAACCTTCAGTGCTTTGCCTTATTATAGCCTTGCAGTTGGCTTCTTGGCTTATTAAATAGAATTGTTAGGCGTGTAGTGAACCAGGAATGAGACAGTTATGGAGTAGAAGGCTGCTGTTCTCTTTACAACCTTCTTCCTGGGCCGGATCCTCCACCCACGAGGGGATCAGTGTGTGTGGTGCCCTTCCTGTCCCTCTGAACTGAGCAGCCTGTGGGTTATCGCTCCCGCTTGAGGGCAGTGCTCAGGCCACGTGGTCACTGGGGGAAACACGTAAGATTGGCCCTGTGCGTGCTCCGTGCCTCCCACTGTAGGAGGGGCCATTTCCCCTCCTGATTGTGTTCTTTTTTGGTGTGTCTTCGGTTTTGTCTTCTCAACTTGATAAATGAAATAGTAGAGCATAGGGACTTGTATTTATAGGGAATTCTTCTTATTGCCAAGCATGATAGCTCTTGTAAAAATACCTTTTAAAAGAAAAATAGGTTAATTATAATTTAAAAAGCACTAAAATTCATTGTAAAGAATTTATAAAATAGAAACATACAAAGAGTATGTATCCTAGAAGCCTAAAGATAACATTGTCTACATTTTGATATATTGTTCTTTGTTTTATGATCTCATTGGAGGAGGGTGTATATGTGTCTGTGAACACACATACTACATGTAAGTTACATATGTATTTACAGCTTTTCTAAAAGCTTAAAGTAGGTTGTAAAGTACATACAATTTTGTAACCTACTTTTACCTACTTCATATTATATTATGATTATTTTCTCACTTTACCAAATAGCCTTTGAAATTTTCATAATCCTATATTTCCATAATCCTTCACTGCATGGATGCTTAATTCCGAATTTTAGCTAGTTTTATACCTAAGGCTGAAATAAAGGTTGTTGTACGTAATTCTTTGACTCAATTTCTGAGGCTATCTATGGATTTCTACAAAGGGAGCTGTGGGATCAAAGGTTTAAAATGTTTAGAGTCTTCCTGATACGTTTTAGTAACAACTTCTTGATTAAGCTCAAAAATCAAAAAGCTGTTGTGATTCCCCATCAGCATTCTGTTCCTTTTTGTATAACAAACTTGAGTTTGGATGTCTTAAAACATCATGGTTATTTTAAATATTGTGTTCCATATGATGTAGTAACTTCTTTATGCCGTTTCCTGGAACTGACTTAAATCCATCAACTGCTTCTGTCTTTTGTTTTCAGATGGGTGATCTACAATGACCACAAAGTTTGTGCCTCAGAAAGGCCCCCTAAAGATCTGGGATACATGTACTTTTACCGCAGGATACCCAGCTAGACCTCAAACATGCAAATCGGCAAGAAGAAGCCATAGATGTTTTAATTTGCCAAAAAAAAAAAGAAAAAAAAAAAGAAAAAAGAAAAAAAGTTGAGACATCCAGACATGGAGGAATACCTGGGGTATAGTTTTATTTAAAGAGCACGATCATTTGACGCCTTCTGAAATAGAACTGGGGAGAAATTTCTATTAGGGATGATATACTATTGTAGATAGTTTTTATAAATGTTCAAGGAGAGGATGATATTTAAAAAAAAGTATTCATATTGCTGGTGGGGGATCTGCCATCAGCACATCAAAAATGGGGATGCACCCCAGCCGTCTGTTTTGCTTTGGGGGCCAGTGGTAGTGGCCCCCAGAGAAACCGATCAATGTGGCCAGTGGCATGGCCTTACCCACGATAAATGAAAAGCCCACTTTTGTTTCGTACAGAAAATCAGCAAGTGGGTGGAGCTTTGTTTGTGACATAATTTTTTTCATCACATACAATAATTTCTGACCTACCCATCCGTGTATAATATAGCATCTGCAGTGAAAGATATTTTTAATTTATCATATCAAAATTCATAACACGATTATGCGACTGTGTGTAAGAGTGAGTGAGAGTGTGAGACCTTTACTAGAAAAGTGAGTCCACTAGAAATCTGTGATGAGTTGATTTTTAAAGGCTAAACACTTGGTATTAAGCATATCGGAAAAAAGCAAGTAAATATTTAGTGAAATTATGACTCAGGAACATTAAAAAAAGATTAGTTCCCCACTTAGATTTGAAGGAGCAAAAAGGGCTGAGTTATCCCTTTAAGTGCTGTCAAGAATTCACTTGGGTTTGCGACAGTGGTGGTGTAATGTCACATGCCCACAGCAGCATCATATGTGCTTTGCCAAAGGTAGGTGAATTCCCAGTTTCTCAGCAGCCCTTTCCCCGAAAGGCATAACGTTTATTTTTGGTTAAAATAGGTAATCGCTTTTTACCATACCACATGGTAACTCCCTGGAATTGTTTAAAGTGCCCTGGATTTGTCTGTAGTTTTCCTGTCTCTGAGCTTTTTGCCTGCCCCCATGTCCATGTTTTCTGGGGCCAGAGTCTCATCTCTGCTCCCTTTTGGTTTGTTACCTCCTAACTGGCCTTCACTGCTTATCTGATGTGACCAACAGTGTGATCTTGTACACTTTAAGGATTTTAGATGCGAAGAAAGTTTATATGACATTATGAAAGACTATCTTTCTCATGTTGGTTATTTTTGGCATTTTAGTTGCAACCTGGGATTAGATTAGAGTTTCAAATGTGATAAAAGGTGGAGTGATTGCGTTCTGTAATTTTCCTACTGCTCTGCACCAAATCCCAGCATCTCTGGAGTTTCTATTTCAGATTAGTCAGAGGAAAAAGGATTTATTGCTGTCTGTTTAACATGTATTTGTTTGGCTGAAAGGATCTTTTAGAGACTGTAGGAAAATAAAGCAGAACCAACTGGGAGAAATAAAGCACAGACATTGGATTAGGGTGTGGTGAGTGAGGTGTGGTCACCATAGGGGCGCCTGACTCACGGGTCACCTAGTGCCATGTGAGCGAGGCTTGCGGAGTCCAAGGCCTGCGGCCTGGAGACCTGGGTGCAGCCCCCACCTGGCTGTGGACCTTGGGCAAGTCCCATTCCTTCCTGTGCCTCAGTGTCCTCATCTGCACAATGGTGTGATGACACCTGCCCTCTTTCCAATTATGCTTTGAGGATATGATACGACGAACCTGGACAGAGTAGAAGGAGGGTGCTGTGCTGGTCCTAGTAGGGTGTGCTCCCTGCCTTCTCTCATCTGGTGTTTTCCTCAATTTGGGAACAAATGAAATTGGCAGAAGGTGGGAGCTCATGGTGCAGTAATTCTCTACTCAAGTGTGCCCACTGGCGTTACCTTCCAGGGTTGACTTGGATATCCTAAAGCTGTCCCGCTCTGTTCCTCGAGTCGCTGACTCCTATGGAAACCCCCCTGCTAAGCTGCCTTACAAAATCCAGTCCCCTTCGGGCTGAGTGCTACAGAATAATGATTCCAAATGTGCATCAAAAATGGCTTGTTTCGGCCGGGCGCGGTGGCTCACGCCTGTAATCCTAGCACTCTGGGAGGCCGAGGTGGGCGGATTGCTCAAGGTCAGGAGTTCAAAACCAGCCTGAGCGAGACCCCGTCTCTACCATAAAAATAGAAAGAAATTAATTGGCCAACTAATATATATAATATAAAAATCAGCCGGGCATGGTGGCTCGTGCCTGTAGTCCCAGCTACTCGGGAGGCTGAGGCAGGAGGATTGCTTGAGCCCAGGAGTTTGAGGTTGCTGTGAGCTAGGCTGATGCCACGGCACTCACTCTAGCCTAGGCAAGAAAGCGAGACTCTGTCTCAAAAAAAAAAAAAAATGGCTTGTTTCCATCGGTGTTACCTAGCAAAGGCCTTTTTTTGGAATGGGGGGGGGGATTGGGAGTTTGGATTGAAAAGTGGACAAAGATAGCATGTGTATTTTGAACAAAATAAAAATTTTATAGTAAAACTTTGCAAAATTAATGGTGTAAAATCAATATTTGAGATAGTCTTTAAATTATTTAATTTCATTAAACAGAAAGAAATTTAGCCCTTTTGATGCCTAACATACTGTAAGAAAGCATACTATGGCTGCCTTTTTTTCCCTGCCTCACAACGCAAAGGGCTATTTCTACAAGGCAAAGTTTTGTGTATGTGCTATTCTTTATTTCAGATTCAGAGTTGGGAAAAACTGGAGCAAATAATGGGTTTCTTTCTTGCTTAAAAACGTGTTTATATGTGTATCTTAATATAAACAAAGCAGGTTTCCCTATGAAAGTCCGGAATGTACCACTTAATTTTACATGTGTGTAGACGAGATTATTTGTGACTGAAAACTGGAATAATATGTGGATTGTGTCAACTGATTATCAGCCTGTTAGGAGTCCTCTGTGTGAGGCATGTTGGTATAATTGTGAAATTCTCACTGTATGTGGGTGTCTGTGTGAAAGACAGCACTCTCTTTCTGTAAATATCTTTTGATATATATTTGTGTAGAAGCCCAATGAATGTGTCTTTGGAAAATGTAATGTATTAAAGTTTTTATTTTGTCAATTGGTCTAAATGCCCATGTAACTAATCAGCAATCCAGTTTGGTTCAGATTGGGATTTTCTTTTAAAGGAAAAAAAATGTATGCAGAAATGACTCTTGGAAGAATCGTATTTTAATGATATTTTATATCAACGTTGCTTCAATGTTTTGGAACTGTTGAAGCTGCTTTCTCCCACCTACAAGAGAATGTGCCTGCCTTTTCCCAGTTGCTCACTTTGAGCTGCAGAAGTCCAGTGGGAATAGCTTGAACCTTTCGCTCCCTGAATTGTTTATTCCCGTTGTCTGAACCATAGGGAGAGCACCTGGTCTATATGAGGCTCCACCTGTCAGTGTGTGGGGCCAAGTCGCTTTATCTCTCCAGACCTTTTTCTTTAAAATGAGTGGGTTAGACTAGATGAGCTCAGAAGTCCCTTCCTCCTCTAAAGGCCTCTTCTATTTTTATAGAAGGGATCACCTAGAGGTTTAGACCGTATATTTTTGAATTGTTACAGTTTCTACACCCCAGTTGGGGACCTGTGTCATTTTTAGTGTCTCCATCCCATTTCTATTCCTGCTCCACTTATCTTTATTTTCTTTGGTCATCGTCCCATTTTTTTTTTTTTCCCACTCTTGAAACTCACAACTTTCCACTCCATGATGTATTTTGCCTCCATCCTCAAAAACACACAAAAAAATCCATTTAAAACACCTTCCTAGAAAAGGCTCAGAATGCATTCAGCTAAATCTGTCACATTTATAGAATATTTTAAAATTCTAGGAGAGGACAGGGGGAAAAGTTCTAATTCAGTTATAGCTATGATCTCCAAATAAGTCTGACAAAGTTGTCTGTCACGGACAGGATGTCTTTTTCATCTTGTAGGCATCACTGTTGCTAAATCCCATCAGGACCAGGGGATGGGGTTAGACAAAATGTAATTCTGTCCTTTATTTTAAAGGATTCTTTCCTACCCTGTCCTTTGCTCAAAAATCCTAGGTTGTGGAACAAGGTTCTGTACTCTTAAATTGGTGTACAAGATCACCTCCACAGTGTCATGGAGACTTCCCACTCAGTAAATCGCCCTGAAAGAGTTCACATCAGATTCTCTAGGTCTGTGCTATTCAGTGTGATAGTCAACAGCCACATGTGGCAAATGACCACTTGAAATTTGATTTGTCTAAGTTGAGATTGCGCTGTACACATAAAATACACACCGGATCTTGAAGGCTTGGTACCAAAAAAGAACTTAAAATATTTCACCAATGTTTTATATTGATGACATGCCAAAATGACAATATTTTGGATATTAAATAAAATATTAATTTAGTAAATATTAAAGTTGTTTTCACCTGTTTTTATCATTGTTGTTTTAAATATGGCCACTAAAGAATTTAAAATGAGATGTGTGGCTAAATGTGGCACCTCTGTTGGACAGTGCTGCTCTAGACCTCCGTGGTGTGGGGCAGGCAGTGAAGTCCCACAGGTAGGAAAGGTCATTCTGAGAGGCATCCAAATAGAAGCAGAACACATGTTTTTGCTGGAGTCAGGAGCACTGTGAGGCACAGAACACCTCCCAGAAAGCAGGTTTTTCTGCCTAAAAACCAATATAGAAATGTATGATCCTAATTAAAAAAAAAAACAAAAACAAAAAGAAAAGCACATGAGCCCCAAACTGTCTGCCTTCAGCTTTTCCTGGGAGTCGCTATCATTGCTCCTCTTTCTCTAGCGTCTTCCAGGTGCCAAGGGTATTAGCCACATGAGGGTGTTGGGCATATGTGTTTCATTTTAGGCAACATTCTCTTGTGGTTTCCCCTCCCCAGGTATTTTGAAGTCCGTTCAAAGCTGGCTGTGTTGAAATACTGTGCAAATCCTGCCGCCCTCCATGTGCCACTTCTCTCGGCCTCGGCCGAGGCCTGTTGCCTGTGCCCACCTGCCCGGCAGGTTTTGATGCTGGCTCCTGAAAGAGTTTGTATTTATTTTATTTTGCACTAGTCA